CCTATGCAATCCCCTCCTTTTACTGAAAGGAAACAGAAGCCCAGAGCTTTTCAAACCCTTTTTAGTACTCTTTTCTATACTACCTCTCTTCTCTCTCCTGTCTACTCCAGCCATTATGCAACAAAAATTCATCCATTTTGACTTTTTAAGTCAAAGTGGAAAAAATAGTAAGTTGGAGTGGTATATACTAAATCCCTCCTTATTCAGTGATTTGATGCTCATATTGCTCTTTTCCTACTTTGTTGTTTAAGACTTAATAGGTGAAATATAACCTAAAATCCTGCTGACTTTTAACTAGGCTCCCTCATCATCTGATAACACCAATCATTCAGCATTTTTGTCTTAAAAAATCACCTGATAGCACCAATCATCCAGCATTTTTGTCTTCCTTAAAAATTCAAATACTCAAATTCCCAGTCCTTCGCCATTGCCCAAAACTAATGTTTACCTAAAGACAATGACATATTTCTAGTAAGCAACTCAAGTACAGATAAATTTCGTTGCTATGTCCAGTGTTGTAAAAAGAACATGGGACTTTGGAGTAGGACAGATTTGTGTTAAAATCAATGCATTCTCATTTATAAACTCAGAATTAGGCAAGATACCGTGTTTCCCCGAAAATAAGACATCCTCTGAAAATAAGACCTAGTGCATAGAAAGATAAGACATCACCTGAAAATAAGACCTAGTGCAACTTTGGGAGAAAAAATTAATATAAGACAATGTCTTATTTTCGGGGAAACGGTAATTATTAACCTTTCTGAGGTGCATTTTTCTCACCTGTATATCTCAGAGAATTGTAGATAAGTCTAGCATAAAGTGAAAGTGTTCAAAAATATTATTTTATTCTCATCTTTCATAACATGCCAAACAAGTACAAAATAACTATGTTACAAGTATCAGTTCAAAAAGTTTTGCTTTTAAAGGTTATTCTTATGTCTACTTCTATCCAATAGTAGATAGAACAGTCATTTACCAGCTGGCACCAGTCACATCAATGACAGTAATGGATAAAGTGTGACAAAGTCTTGCAAATGACTAGAAACTTTCTTAGATCTTTAAGTCAAGTGTCAAATAAAAAAATAAAAGAATCAAAATATTTATGATAAATGGAGCTTGACAGAGGATGAATAACCATAATCTACTGGAATCAGTGATTTACAAAAGAAATTGATATGGATATATAATAATGGTAACAGTTTGAACTCATCACCTTTTGGGTAAGGAGTTTTTTGTACTCTTATTTAATGCCTAGCATATCTAGGACAAGTAGAAATTATACTGCTATATGGAATAATTATCTAAATTAATGTATGAAATCATAAAACTCACGTTTGCAGAGCATTTTAGTGTGGCATACTTTTCCAATTAACAATGAAGAAATTAATGGAATCCAGGTGTCGTGATCCCCATGTTAGTAATATAGAAATAAGCTGCAGTATTTCAACTTTCATAAATTCTAACATAATTACTTTACATTCTACTTAATAACATACCAAAATGAATGTTATAACGATTATAATAAATAAAATTATCAAGAACTGAAATAAGCCTTATGCTATGCTAAATAATTTCTCTCAATTTTCTATTAATTCCTCTATATTCAAGTATACTTCCTCTTTTTTTAAAAATATATTTTATTAATTTTTTACAGAGAGGAAGAGAGAAGGATAGAGAGTTAGAAACATCGATGAAAGAGAATCATCAATCAGCTGCCTCTTGCACACCCCCCAATGGGGATATGCCTACAACCAAGGTACATGCCCTTGACCGGAATCGAAGCCGGGACCCTTCAGTCCACAGGGCGACGCTCTATCCACTGAGCCCAAGCCGGTTTGGGCTAGCCCAGAATCTTACATACATTCGATACTTAATACATATTTGTTATATATACAATAAAGAGAATTTAGATATGGATATTAAGAGAAATTACTGGATATGCTTACTTTTTACTAAAATGGAAAAAACTAAATTTCTTTTTTCAACAGTAAACATTATTTTATAAAATTACATTGTTTGAGGTGTTTTTTCTTTTTGTTAATCCTCAACTGGGGATACTTTTTTCATTGCTTTTCAGATAGAATGGAAAGAAGGAAGGGAGAAAGGGAGGGAAAGAAAGAGAAAAAGAATAATTGATGTGAGAGAGACGTGGGGGGGGGGGGGGGAGAGACAAAACCTAGATATATGCCCTTGACCAGGAATTGAACCTGCAACCCTTCAGTACGCTGTCTGACATTCCATCTACTGAGCAACACCAGCCAGGTGCTTGGGGTATTTTTCTAATTACATCCCCAGTATAATCTGATTAATTTAATACCTAGAAAAAGAATACCTATGTTTATAAGCCCTTTTCTTCTGAGCTCAGAAAATTTTACAAATATTATCTCATAAATTTTTAGAACACCTCTGAGGTTATTGGAGGTGAAAAGGGAAAATAAATGATAGAATATGAATCCATAAGCCATATGAATTCAGAAATTTCACAAATTCCACTCTGTAAAATTCCATCTAAATGAGTAATTTTCCAATTTACTCATTACATTTAGATATGCTGGTCTAGAACAAAAGTGTTTTTATTATTTCCTTAAGAAAGCAAAATGTTCAGAAAGTATTACACATAGTCAGCAAAACTACAATAAAAATACTGTCTTGCATATTCTAATAGAAAACCGATTGTTACTGACTACAGGTTTATTTCAAACTGAAAAATATTTAGGAATTAGACACGTTCTTTTCTTCAAATTTAATAACCTGAGACTAACAGCCTGGTCACAGCTTTAACTTCATCCTGCTCCCCATTTGGTTGCTTTGTGCTAGGATCTCTTAACAGCCCTTGCTGATTGCACCCAGGAACCATTCTCTCCCTTTTACTTACTAACAGAATCCCAGGCAACAATGGGCTCAGCCCCAGGGGATGAATCATAATTTATCTTAGCCAGTCCCGACAATCCTGTTTCCCTCTGTCAATAATTGGGTCTAAAACTGGCCAATAAATTGAAAAAGTTGCTGAGGATCCTTTCCTTTCCGATAAGGGGACAGCAAAAAGAACAGGCTTTTTTGCTCCCCCAACCAGTTTCTTTGCACTTAAGAAGTTGTTGCATTACACTTGATACTTGGAGCTGTGCCATTATTTTTGAGACCATGAGGGGAAGACCAAGAGAACTTCAGTAAACCTGACTGCACCTAGATACAACTGAGTATCTGGAGGCTTCTTGCTATGCAAAATGTTACTTTTGTTTAAGTCACTAGATCAGATACTCTGTTCCTTGAAGTTGAAACGTCCTATTTAATATTAATTGTCCAATAAATCAGACGAGAAAGGAAGCAGAGATTAATTACTAAGCACTTACTATTATATCTGTAATCCCATTTAATTTTCACAAAAGCCTAATATATAAAATTATTTATCTTTTTTTGTTTTGTTTTTATAAAAAACTAAGGTTCTCCCTGGCCGATGTGCTAAGTAGGTAGAGCATCATCGGCCCATGCACTGAAGGGTTAGATCCCAGTTTGCTCCCTGCTCCCAGTCTAGGCAAGTGCAGGAGGCAACCAGTTCATGTGTCTCTCTCTGTCTCTGTCTCTGTCTCTCTCTCACTCACTTTGTCTCCCCCCACACTCATACTCCACCCCTCTCTTCCACTCTCTCTGAAAAGCAATAGAAAAATAGTCTCATGAGAGGATTAATAAAACCAAAACAAACAAAAAAGAAACTAAGGCCCTAGCCGGTTTGGCTCAGGGGATAGAGCATCAGCCTGCAGACCAAAGGGTCCCATTGGTCTGGTCAAGGTTCAGTTCTGGTCAAGGGCACATGTCTGGGTTGTGGGCTCGGTCCAACGTGCAGGAGGCAGCCAATCAATGATTACTTCTCATCATTCATGATTCTCTCTCTTCCTCTCTGAAATCAATTATTTATACACACACACACACACACACACACACACACACACACACACACTAAGGCTTAATAGAGTTATATTAATATTAACAAAGCTAAAGTTCAAATCCAGACTTGACACCAAATCTCACATTCCTTTCTTCCTCGTTTATAGTTCTTTAAAAAGAAAACTAGTAAGTTGATATGTTACTAGCTAACAGAATTTAGGAAGGACAATTATCAACTATCTTATAATCCTGCCATAAAAATGTGTAATGTTCAACTTTTTAAAAAAAAATATATTTTATTGATTTTTTACAGAGAGGAAGGGAGAGGGATAGAGAGTTGGAAACATCGATGAAAGAGAAACATCGACCAGTTGCCTCCTGCACACCCCCTACCGGGGATATGCCCGCAACCAATATACATGGGGAGAAAGACAAAATTGTGTGTATTGTGTATAAAAAGTTCCAGAATGTCTAGTACAGTAGCAGAAATCCTACAGCAAAAACTGCAATGGATTATAAGTGCAATATTCAATTTCTCTTAGAATTAAAAAAAAAAAAAAAATGAACTAAGCCCAACCAGTCTGGCTCAGTGGTTGAGCATTGACCTATGAACCAGAAGGTCATGGTTTGATTCCTTGTCAGTGTACATGCCAGGGATGGGGGCTTGATTCCCAGTAGGGGGCATGCAGGAGGCAGCCGATCAATGATTCTCTCTCATCACTGATGTTTCTCTCTCTCCTCCCTTCCTCTATGAAATAAAAATATTTTTTTTAAAAAAATGAACAAACATTTCTTAAATCGAAAGAATAACTTCCTTATTTCAAACAATTCCATTAACCAAGTATCTAACAATATAGAAACCACAAAGTTAATACTTCCTCAATTCTCATCTGTTCATGAAAACTGATTCAGCTTAGGTCTTGGCAATAAAAACCTTATATTAACACCAATAATCAGTGAGGTCTACTTTTTACTTAGAACTAGAACTGGGTGTTCAGAAGCTATTTACAATGTTCATCTCAATCAGAAGTATGTTCATCTTATACTATTCCCTTTACTAATTTCTAATTGAGGATTTCAAAATTAGCATGCTAGATTTCTGAGCTGATACAACTTACCTTCCCACATGCTCTGCAATGATGCCTCCTTTTGGTGAAAGTAAACCTGGCTTCACATTTCATGCAATTGGGAGCCTGAGAATCTGGTACCCATACTGGAGCCACCTCACCGAGGGTGGTAAATGGCTTTCTGGCAGAAATTCCAAACTGACCAGCTCTGAGATCATTATCTGGGCTATCTGGAGGTAATACAAGACCAGGTCTACTAGATATCCCAGACTCATAACTTTCTGAATGTTCCCCATTTGTATCAGCAATAGAAATGTTTCCCAAAGAGGCATTACATGCATTGGTTGCTGAATTTTCCCCTATTTTTGCTTTACCAAGAACATCATTTTTGTTTTTAATATTATTTCCATTGTTTGCAGGAAGGTCATTTTGTAAATGGTCTGATAATGGCTTTGGAATTTGAAGTTTAAGATTAGAAGGTTGCTTGGGTCTTGCACCACCAAAAGGAACACTGATAGATTGCAGGTTTCCTATCTTGGGTGAAGACTGCCCAAGCACTGATGGAATTTGGCTAGAGAAATTGTGTAAATAATTCTTCTTCATTAGGTCACCAGTGCTGTTTAAAAGTAGTCCACTCCCTTCTGTGATGTCATTTCCTCTCTGTTCATAGATATTTGAGTAGCATTCTGACTTGCTCTCTTCTATTTCCTTTTCTTCTGTTACTGAATCTTCTTTGGAGGGTAAAGTCTTTGGAACAAAACAAACAACTGGGCTCTGCATTCCATAGGAATCACAACAATTAGATGAAGTATTTGCTGCTGGTGCATCCATAACAGTGGAGAAATCACATCCTTCACTTTCATTCACGAAAGTTCCTTTTAAATTTAGACCTGCTTCTGCCATTCTATCACACTCTCCTCCACTATCATTGTAAGTGTCCTCAGGCTGATTCATCTGCAGAAACTTCTCCTTTTCTTCACTTATGTGGCTGTCATTCACCTCATTGAGTTTAGTCAATTTCCAATCAGCCATCTCCTGAGATTCAGAGAAATGTTCTGTTGTATTAAGAAGGTCTGTAGAGCCAAGAATTTCTTCATGCTCACGACCTTCATTTTCATCAGCTCTAACTTCACTGGGCACAAGGCAATCTGAAAACTGTTCACAGTTATCTTTTCCAGACCCATTATGCAAATCTGGTTTGAGAAGCAAAGGTAATCCAGATGGGATGGATTTTTCCGTTGTCATCTCCTCTGCTGGCTCTTTTTTCATCAAATTCCCCTCACTCAAATGGGAAAAGGAGTTTAAACTCCCTATATCTGTCCTAGGAGAGTTGGTTTTGTCAGTGAGAATCTCATCTGGCATATAGTTCTCTTGTTTTTTAACAGCAGGACCTTCCTCTGTTCCCTGGGATGAGACTACTGAATCGACTGTTAAACTTGTAATTACAGACATAGAGGGGTCTCTACCTAAGTTTTCATCATCCTTTAATTGTGAAGGGGAACAGCTACTGGCTAGATTATCAGGTGAAGTAGTACATAGATGTTTAACAGAATCCCCCTCTGCACTCGGCCTATTAAATAGATCCATTTGTTTCTCTGAGTTTATATCTTTTTCAGTGGAACCATTTATATTAAAACTAAATTGATCAGTTTGTCTGTTTTCATTATCCAGTGAACAGCTAAAAGCATCCATGAGGGATTGACTATTATAATTATTACAATCCTGCAAATCGCTTTGCAATGTCCTTTTATCACAGTTATGCATGACAGCTACAACAAGAACATTCTTCTCATCTGGCAGACAAGCTAGGTTTCCACATTTCTTCTCTCCCACTTCAACAGTGCTGCACTGATCATCTTGATTACAGTTCCTCTTAATTAACTGATCTTCTGCAATGGCATTTTCATCAATCCACATTGTGTTGTCCTCTGGGTTCACACTACAGTCCTGCCCATTAGCACAATGGTCCTCTCTTTGTATGGTCAGAGGAGACGAATAAGCCAGAGAGAAGACTTTCAATTGTGGCTGTGACTCATTAGAAACTACAGGTTCATTCACACTGGCCAATGCAGGGTTAAATGACAGTCGGTGCGAAGGGGGATCTAGAATCTTATTCCATTTTGTTTCCAATAAAATAGGAGAAACTGTTTCATCTGAAAAAAAAAAAAAAAACCAACAAATTACAGTAAGTTTGCTAGTAATGCTGGAAAAGCTAGGACTAAATTAATTAACTATATTTGCAAATATAATCTGACAATAAAATATTCCTAGAATATAAAAGTTTCTAATTCTTAGCCAAGAATAAGAAAATGTATTTATAACTGTTCCCCTATTAAATGTCACTGAGTGGTAATATCCCAGAACATTCCAAACAAAAGAATTCTACCTCAATCTAATAGCATATTTCAAGTGGCCCACAAACTGTACTTGGGGGTATAGGGCCACCAGCAATAGGGAAGGCCTTGGATTGACCAAGTACATCATGGGGTGAGGACTAATGTAAAGTGAAATAAAAATCAGAAAGTGATGAAGATACAGTAATTGAGTGGAAAATAAAAGAAAGGAATTTTCTGTGAAGACATAATGTTCTATAATTACATCATGAGCAGAATGTGGGTTACATGGGATAAATTTATTTGTCAAAAATATACAATTACGACCTGTACATTTCAATGTGTGTAAATTTTATCTTAAAAACTGTCAAAAACAAACAGTGAAGCAGCGTGTGAGAAGTGGTTGAAAATATAAATGAAACCAAAATGGCAGCATGTCAATCACTGCAGAAGATGAGTAATGGTACACTAGAGTTTACTATACTATTGTTTCCCTTTATATATATTTGAAATTTGTCCATAAGTTTTTAAAAAGTTTGCTATAGTATGTGAAATTCTGCTTGTAACCATGTCACAATATATTAATTAGGTTCATATTTACATTATCAAGGACATTTGGCAGAAAATATTCACTTACCTTATTAAGTCAACCTACATATATTCTATCAATAAGAATAATTTCATGTTCCTGTTTACTTTTTGGCAGATCATAACTATGATGGTTATTTTCCCCAAGTTACAGTGCAATGTGTAAGGTTAATTAGAAAAATAATAAATAATGCACTTATTACCCTTCTTGCTTTCTTATTGCTTAAATCTGATAAAACATAATCTTAAAATTATATGCAAATATGTTTCCCCTCAGTAGTAACAATCTTTAATGCTCCCTTAGCACCTTCTTCATATCTTCATTAAAGCATTTATTACACTATAATGCAATGGTTAACTGACCTGACTTTTTTAGGCAGAAACCATTTCTTTCAACCAATGTTAAGTCCTTACTTTGCATAGTCTCTCGTATGTAGTAAATACACAATCAATATATGCTAAGTGAGTTTCTACCATAGTAAAAGCATTGGGTTTGAGGAACATGAAGGTTAAATGATAGCTCTGGCCTCCAAGAAATACAGAAATAGATACAATACAGATGAATATCTAATTAGCAGTACAGTGTAGCATTAGTATTTGAAAATTATTATGTAGTATCAGAAAACAAATTCAGATATTTTACAGGCTGAGAAAGCGAGCTTGAATTCATTTGAAACAGAAGCAAATGGGGTGGGCTTCAAAGACAATTCTATGTAAGTCTGGAAAAGAGGACATTCATAACAGAGGAACAAGGAAAAGTATAGAACCCAACACAACTATCTGAGAGCAATAACCAAATCATTTTGGGTTGAAAGAAGAATTCAAGTAAGAAAGCAGTGAAAAAAACCTAGAAAGGGCAGATTACAAAGGCCATAAAACATCAGATTATATGGAGAATGGCTTAGTATCTACATGTTAAATCCTGAGTTTATCAAATCTGGGGTAGCAGAGACATGAGATTTAGTAGTATGTACTTCCTTCCTTTAAAAAGAAGAATCATGTTTTCAAGTTGGTTCAAGGAAGGAAAAAAAGAAATATTGCTTCTTATAAGCATATTTAGTAACAGGAATGATCAGGTACCCATTTCATTTTTCAACTACCTCCTACCTGGGCATAATGTTAATATTTAGTATTATATCTGTGTGTGGTATATTTTTCATTAAAAGGAGGAAATTAACACAAAATGAGAGATCATTTAAAACAAATTTGAAAAGGTACCAGCTAGAGGCTATAGTTTTAATGAAAAGATACCAGCTAGAGGCTATAGTTTTAATGAAAAAGGTACCAGCTAGAGGCTATAGTTTTACTGAGATTTTGAAAAAAAAAAAAAATAGTTCAAAACAAATGAACAATTTAGTTACAAACAAGAAGGTAGCTTCTGAAGTTCTTTTTTTTTTTTTTCTAAAGGAGTTATTTTTAAATGCAAATACTCTATTTTTAAACTAAGAGAAATAATTTTTACTGACTCAACAAAAATATATTAGAAAACAACTATATACAAAGTGCCCTACTAGAGTCTATAAGAAGTGGTAAAAAGAGTGATGTAATGGACTAATGTTTTATTAAATAGAGTAAGTGGCATTCTAAAAGTATTGTATTCACAAGATTAGATATAACATCTGTATAGATATCTCATGACAAATAACTGTAATACATAAAGGGCCAAACCAAAGAAAGGACTGAGAAAATACTTGTATAAATGATTCAAACTAAGGGGATAATACACCTTCTACCTTGGTATATATAAAGATCATCTAGATCCAAGAAAATCACAAATGATTAGGTTTCACATTTACATGAATCAGGAATGAATCTAGGGTTGTGGGTAGCTTTGGGTCATCAAAGGTAAAATATGAGAAGAGCAAGCCATTCCAGGTATCATTTCTCTCCCTTTTCCCTCCTTACCACAATGATCCTATATTCTCTTTAAGGCTTCCTCTATCATAGACCCAAAACAACAAAATCAAGATTAATCTTTCTTCCCAGCTGCCATCAAATAACAACCTGAATCAATGGGTAAAGATTTGGAGTCCATACTAAAATTATGGACTTTAGCTGAAAATAAATTTGTTACATGTCATTTCCTGTTAGAAACAGAGAATTCCAAGGAAGTTGGTAAGGTGAAACAGATTTAACTATGGCTAATCCATTCAAGTCATCCTGAGAGGGGAATTTAAGGAAAATGTTACCCTAGTGAATCTTTTATATATATATTATTTATTTAAATATTTAGTTTCAGAGAGGAAGGGAGAGGAGATAGATAGAAACATCAATGAAAGAGAATCATCGATCAGCTGCCTTTTGCACATTCCCCACTGGGGATGGAGCCTGCAAACCAGGCATGTGCCCTGACTGGAAATCGAACCATGACCTTCTGGTTCATAGGTCGATGCTCAACCACTGAGCCACGCTGGCAGGGCTCCCTAGTGAATCTTAAGTAGACATTTTTAGACTGAGCCTTAAAAAGGTATAATTTAATTAACCATATTGACAATTGCTTAATCTTTTAAAATTAAGTTTGAAATATATCTTGACTTTATTGGTCAACTGATATTCAAAAAGCAATTTTTCTTAGTTTAGGAAATACAATCACACATTTTAAAGCTTTTTTTGCCCATAGATGGTTGTTTATAGTAGAGGAGAGTTCAGGCTCTAATGTCATGCTACCTGGATTCTAATCCTGCCACTTATTAGCAACATAACTTTGAGAAAGTTGCTTAACCTCTCTGTGCCTCTATTCTCATCTCTACTCTCAGGATATTATTTTAAAGATAAAATTATAAAATCCATGTAAATGGTTTAGCATAATATCTTGACAAAGAGATTAAAAATGTTAGTTATCACCCTGGCTATTAATACATAACATTAAGTCATTGGACCTGCTTTTACTTATTTAAAAAGTACTTCATCCTCTTATAACCACACATTCTGTATATCATAAATACATTCAAATACCTTTACCAAAGTAAATTCTCACCTTCGTTTTGTTCAAATTCGTCTAAAACCTTGTCCAGGTTGTAAGCTTCTGCTTGAAAATAATTCTCCATCGGTGAGAAAACACCACTTAAGAGACTTGTTTAAATCTAGAGAGATCAAATTTGTATTACATTTTCAATTGTTAAAATATAATTTATAGACAAAACAATTGATACAAAAGGTCCCTCTTTGGGATTTTTACCCAACTGCCTCCAACACATTTCTCCTTACCCAAATAATTCTAAATCTTTCAGTTAACTTACTTTCACAGGGAAGTCTTTCCTGAATCCCTAGAAAAGGTGATCTCCCTTCATAATCTCTCACAGAACTCCATTTTTTCCTTTATAATATTTATAACAATCTATAAATACACCCTGATGAGACTATTTTATTAATGTCAATCTTTCCCCAAAAAATGTAGAAACCACAAAGACAAACTCTTGACTATGCTCACCAAATGATTAGCACAGAGACTAATGTAGTATCTTTTCAATACATACCTCTGAAATGAATAAATGAACAATGTATACACAGCTAACTAGTAAGTTGTATTAAACTTCAATTATAATTAATTTAGGCAAGCATCAAAAATATATGTTAAAACCTTTGGTAAATCGTTATTAGGGAAGAAACTATTCAGTGTCTCAAAGTATTATTCCACAGATGACTTATTCATTACACAGGAGAAAATGTATATTTACCATGAAAAGATATGGTAATCACTACCTTAACCAAATTATCAAATATCACCAATAGTTTAACAAGTTGACATTATGCACCTCCTGATGTGACGCAATGAGAAGTTTAAAACCTCACCTACAAGTATTCTTGCCAAAAATGTTTAACTTGCATTGAACCGGGAAGAAACAGACAATCTAGAATCTATTCTATAACTGTCCTAAACTCTTCAAAAAATTCAGTGTTATAGAAAACAAGATCATTCTAAATTAAAAGAGACTAAAGAGATCACTGACTAGATCCTCAATAAAACATGCAGATATTCATAAACAAAGTAAAACATAACATTTATGGGATAAGCAAGAGAATTTGAACCATACATTCGGTATAGTGAATTAATAATCATTTTCTTGAATGTGATAACTGTATTTTGATTTTGTAAGAGAATGCCCTTACTCTTAGGAAAAGCCTGCTAAACTAGTTAAGAAAGACATGTTGTGCTATCTGTAATTAACTTTTGAATGATTGAGAGAGAAAAAAGTATTAGAGTGTGAATGTGGGGGGTGAGAAGGGAAGTGAGGAGAGATGCTCAATAAAGAGGTAAAATGGCAAAAATTGCCCTGGCCAGGTGACTCAGATGGTTATAGCATCATCCTGTACACCGAAAGGTTTCAGGCTCAATTCCCAATCAGGGCACATACCTAGGTTGTAGGTTTAATCCCCAGACAAGTGGATACAGGAGAAAACCAACTGATGTTTCTCTCTCACACTTATGTTTTTCTCTCTTAACACACACACACACACACACACCCTCGGGTGAGGATTTGAAAAAATGGTAAAAATTGATGAATCTAGATAAAGGCTTAATGAATCTTTGTTATACTACTTATTCATTTTTTTCTATAGGTTTGAAATTTTTCAAAAGAAAAGAGCCCTAGAGCCCTAGCTGATTTAGTTCAGTGGGTAGAGCATCTGCCTACAAACTGAAAGGTCCTAGGTTCCGGACTTGATTTCCAGTACGGGGCATGCAGGAGGCAGCCAATCAATGATTCTCTCATTATTAATGTCTCCCTCCCTCTACCTTCCTCTCTGAAATCAATAAAAATATATATAAGAGAAAGAAAGAAGTGTAATGAACTAGTGGTAGAAAGCATTCCTTTCCACTGTGATTACAGACAAAATAGATTACTTTTTTTAAGTTTATACACTCAACTTCAAAAGATAGAAAAGGAAATATACAGATGCCATAAACCAGAACAAATGCAAGCCACAGTAGTGAGAACTGAAAGGTGGCAGTCCAGACAGCAACCTTTGAAAACTAGCAGGGAGGATGGGAACTATTGACTGCAAACTTATAGAAGTTTCTGCATTGGAGGGAGCCAGACTGGGCTCTCTGCACAAAGTCAAGAACTGGGGGGCGGGGGATGCCCCAAATGGCCCCTGTATCAGCAATGGAGCAGAATGGAACAGAGTGCCAATAAAATTACCATTCAGAAAGTAGAATTCCTAGCCTGCTTCTCATTCAAGATTGGGAATGATATTAATTATTTCCATTCATGAACATTAACATGATATCTATGCTTACTCAGCTCTTCCTGTGACTTGTAATAATGCTTTTAATTTTTTAAATTTTAAAAGATGGGATAGTGAGGAAAGAGTTGTGTATATGACTATAAAGAAGTAATACAAGAGATCTTAATGATGACAAATCTACATGTAATAAAGGAAGAGAACTACATATACTCATGAGTATGTTCACAGCAGCATTGTTCATAACAGCCAAAAGTTAAAAACAACTTAAATATCTACCAACTGATAAATGGATAAAATATCAATTTCCTGGTTTTGATCTTTTTTTGTGTAAAGATGTCATCAATGAGAAAAAAATGGGTAAATGAAGGAACTTTCTATACTATTTTGCACTTCCTATGAGCCTATAATTACTGCAAAAAAAATGTTTAAAAAGAAAAAGAAAAAGAAAAAGATATTTTAAAAAATTGAATAGTCATGGAGGCAGGATGAAGAGGGCATCTGTTTAAGAGAGAGAATCAGAGCTGGAGTGTGGTAAATCAGAGCTAAGTGTATAAGGTTGGCCCAGCATAAAGTGTCAGTGCTTTCCCGAAGGCCTGAGCCTCCGAGCAGCCGGGGATGAGCTGATGATCCCAACAGCCTGGCAGCCCAGCTGCGGAGGTGGCATTCGGCCTGGGGACTGGCGAACAGGCAGAAGATGGCCCTGATTGCAGGAGGCTAGGCCCTAGGGACCCTACCAGCACAATTTCATGCACTGGGCCTCTAGTTATCAATAATAGAAATTGTGCTCCTTAAATCAATTACAATGAAAAGGACATAGCATTGTTGATACTGGGGGAAACTATGTGTGTGAGATGGGGCATGGGTAACAAGGAGTAAGGTTAGGAGTATTTGGGGAACAGCCTGTACGTACTTTCTGCTCAATTTTTACTATAAACCTAAAACTGTCTTAAAAAATAAAGGTTATTGCCGAAACCGGTTTGGCTCAGTGATAGAGCGTCGGTCTGCGGACTGAAAGGTCCCAGGTTCGATTCCAGTCAGGGGCATGTACATTGGTTGCGGGCACATCCCCAGTAGGGGGTGTGCAAGAGGCAACTAGTTGATGTTTCTCTCTCATGGACGTTTCTGGCTCTCTATCTCTCTCCCTTCCTCTCTGTAAAAAATCAATAAAATATATTTTTAAAATAAAAAAATAAGGTTATTAATTAAAAACAAAAATGGCACCACTTCTTTGATATTCCCACCAAAAATGCATTACCTGAATCTAGTCATGAGGAAATAGCAGGCAAACCAAAATTGAGGGACATTCCACAATGACTGGTCTGCAATTTTTAAGTGTCAAGGTCAAGAAAATCAAATACCATAGAACTATTCAGAAAGAAGGAGGCTAAAGAGACATAACAACTAAATGCAACATGTGATTTGAAACTAGATCCTCTTTACATAAAGAACATTATTTGTACAACTAGGGAACTTGAATAAGGTATGAGAATTAGGTGGTGGTAATGCATCAGTTAATCCCCTGACTTTTGATGGCTGTATTGTGATTATGTAGGATACTGTCCTTATTTGTAGGAAACAGTTTCAAAGGTGACACAGCATGTAGCTAGCAACTCACTCAAATGGTTCAGAGAAAAAAAGTATTTTTGTAATATATTTGTGCCTTTTCTATAAACCTGAGATCATTTTTAAATTATTTAACATGCACCAAAAGTGTCTATCAATAATTTTTAATTTCCAGAGCACTTACTTTTTCTGATTCTTTTTATGACATCTTGATCTTATTTCATGGATATAATTTCTTCTCTTAACTCTCTGATATAATTACCTACAGTTTTGTTTTTGTTTTCAAACTTTCTTCTGTTTCCAAAATATTTCCTTCAAGTTCCTCTTTTGTACTTTTGTGTTTTGGTCTCCGTCTTTCACACTGGACCGTTCCCCAAATGCCTATCTATTGAACAAATGAAGTACTAAAAGCCAATTGCAAAGTTCTGCATGTGTGGCTTCTCAACTAGAAGGCTTCCAATGAGTGATGAACACAACTATTTCACTGAAAGACCTCAAAATGTCAGTATACAAAGTTGGTTTTTTTTTTTTGGACTACAGAGAAGCTCATAATCTCCTGTCAGGGGGTGCAGAGCTGTATTACCAGAAAATCACCTTCTGAAAGAACAGAGAAAGAGTGAGGGAAAGGGTCTCACTTGTCAATATATAGGATTTCTTTAATCCCTGTTTTCACTATGGTGCCTCATCCCTGATCTCTGAAAAACCTGTGATCTCCTGAGGACCTGGGAGAGGGGCAGGCTTCTCACTGCATAAACTGTGCCTCTCAAAGGATTTAAGTCTATGTCAGGATTCTTTACTTGTGTTTTTATAAAAGTACCCATCTCCTTTTAAAAACAAATCACTAAATACTATATATGCACATCTCAAAAAGAAATGTAATAACTTAATTTTCAGTAGTTTCTTCCTGAGGATCTCTTCATTTGTCTTTGGGCTTATAGACCCCTTTTTTCCTTTTTTATTCTGTTGACCAGAGAGTTTTTAAACAGTCTCCTGAATCTGTCTTTTACAGCACTGATCTGACTGCCTCATGGCTCCTTCACTGGTAATTCCTCTTTATATCATATACTAATTGCAATAAATGCTTACATACATGCATCAAACATTACTGAGCATCTACTAAATACCAGGCACTGTCTTAGTCATTAGGTTACAATGACAAATAAAACAATGTCCTTGGCCAAAAAGTGCCTAACGTTTCATAGAGGAGATGGATAAATGAATTTAAAATATTTAAAAAAACATTGTTGTATATACTAATTGACATGTATGTACTGTTACTATGGAGCCAAAGAAAATA